TGTGTGTGTGTGTGTGTGTGTGTGTGTGTGTGTGTGTGTGTGTGTGTAGGAAACTGAAAAAATTGTCTTTTAACCTGTACTGATGTCTGATTTAGCTCACTGATCAATCATAATCAGGTTGGTCATTCTGGGGATATAATTTTATGTGGTAAGTTAAATTATTCAGCATGTTTGGAGGATTAATTCCAAATCTCTTTGATAGTTACTATCATGATTAATTAGGTTGGTGACTGGCAGCCATTTTTATTATTGGACAAACCTTCTTATCTCCAACAGATACTTCTAAACATCGGGCTAGATTGAAAAATTAGCCCCATGATACACAGTAGGTGGCAAATCAATTTTTCACATTTTGATGATAATGGATTACTTTCATAAATACAGAATGAGCTAATGCTGTGGCCACAAAGGCAATCAATCAGTTTTAATCCACAGAGATATCAAAATAATTTCCCCACAAAAACAAAAACAAAATAGCCCTCTATATTAAGTGAGGTTTTGGGTATGGGAGATGCAGACCAGGAGGCAAGTTTGTGCCCCTACTTCCTCACACATTTGTAAGGATGAAAGACAAAGATGAATATGTCTCTAAAGCAAGGCACACAAAAATGTGCCAAGTCCTCCAGATCCTCCTGTTTCGCAAAGGTTTAGTATAGATATAGTGGTCCCCTGTGGGGCAGAGGTCATTGGTCATATAAGGAAGAAATAAAGCTGATTACTATAAAACACATGGAAAAGATACAGTTAGGTCTAAGGGAGTGAGATGGACTCTGTAATTGCAGTTACTTCAGAGTTAAAAGAGAAATAATTTCAATGGCCAGAATGTGCTGGCTCCCCATGTCAAAGACTTTATTACTGTATTTGAACTCAAGTTCAAGTTGAAGAAAAAAGATTAAAGGCAATTGCTGGTTACATGGTACCTCGGGAATGTCCATCATCCTTCTCAACTTCTGATCTCTCCAGTTCCAGTCAAAAACCAGAAACTTTAAGGGGTTCAAATTAAGGCCACCTGAAAGAAACAGAGAGAGTTGCTACAGCAGACCTCATGACATAAGCTTACTCAAATGACTTTTTAGTCTCGTTGCTTTTTGCCTCATCATTTGCTGTCCTCTCCCCCAGCAACTAACCTCTACACACTGAATGCAGCCAGCCCTTGCTTGATGGAAAACAAATGCAGCACTCTGAGATTGCTTTCCTTATAATCTTATCACTGATTCTGAGGGAAGCAGAGAAGCTGCTAAGCTTGTCAAGTGCTGGCAAAGAAACAATCCCAAACCTCCGTTTCATGAAGCCCCAGAGGGTGAAGTCTCATTCCTGACAGGAATTTGATAGGATGGATCCTGCAGTCTGGGTAGTGGCCCTTCAGAGGAGTTGAGTCCAATGGAGTGTGAGTGGACAGAAGGATGAGTCTGGGGTTTGGGGGTTAATTTTAGACAGAAAAGGAAGTAAATATGAATAGGCTCTATTCAAAGTCTGTTATCATTTGGGAAGACTAGTAAACCACTTAAGGATTCCATTTCCACTGTCTTCCTATGTATCTAGACAATTATGGAATGTGGGGCTGGAGGGGACCTTAGGGATTGTCTGTTCCTCAGAGGTCTCAGAATTGGGCACAGTTAGTTCTTCCCACTCCCCATGTTCTTTCCATTTCCCCAAGCTGTTTCATGTTACATGTGGAAACATAACTGAAGCCTTCCATTGCTCTGCAGCACTTCCCCTCATCTTTTCTCTGTGATTATTTCAGTATTTTCCCTTTGGCCCAAAAGACTTTTCATTCTTCTTATAATTATAATGCCTCTTATTTATTTAAGGATTTTATTTATTTACTTATTTGAGAGAGAGAGAGTGAGCAAGCACCTGCACGCACTTGAGTGATGGGGAGGGGCACAGGCAGAGAGAGAGAGACTCAAGCAGACTCTGCACTGAGTGCGCTCTGACGCAGGGCTCAATCCCACGACCCTGAGATCATGACCTGAGCCGAAATCAAGAGTCAGACGCTTAACCAACTGAGTCACCCAGGGGCCCCTGTAATGCCTCTTATTTAAAATTGTCTCTGTGTAAAAAGCATTTCACAAAATACAGCATCCTTTCCTGATTAAAACTCTTCAGACTATAGGGATAGAGGGAACATTCCTCAAGTTCATAAAATTCATCTATGAAAAACCCACAGCGAATATCATCCTCAATGGGGAAAAGCTGAGAGCCTTTCCCTTAAGATCAGGAACACGACAAAGATGCCCACTCTCACCACTATTGTTCAACATAGTACTAGAAGTCCTAGCAACAGCAATCAGACAACAAAAAGAAATAAAAGGTATTCAAATTGACAAAGAAGTCAAACTCTCCCTTTGCAGATGACATGATACTTTATGTGGAAAATCCAAAGACTCCACCTCTAAATTACTAGAACTCATACAGCAATTCAGTAATGTGGCAGGATACAAAACCAGTGCACAGAAATCAGTTGCTTTCTTATACACTAACAATGCAACTCTAGAAAGAGAAATTAGAGAAACGATTCCATTTACAATAGCACCAAAAACCGTAAGATACCTCGGAATAAGCCTAACCAAAGACGTAAAGGATCTATACTCTAGGAACTACAGAACACTCATGAAAGAAATTGAAGAAGACACAAAAAGATGGAAAAACATTGGAAGAATAAACATTGGATCGGGAAGAATAAACATTGTTAAAATGTCTATGCTACCCAGAGCAATCTATACCTTCAATGAGTGCTGGAACAAACAATCCTAAAATTTGTATGGAATTAGAAAAGACCCCGAATGGCCAAGGAAATGCTGAAAAAGAAAAACAAAGCTGGGGAATCACGTCGCCTGATTTCAAGCTATATTATAAAGCAATGATCACCAAGACAGCATGGTACTGGCACAAAAACAGACATAGAGACCAATGGAACAGAATAGAGAGCCCAGATATGGATCCTCAACTCTATGGTCAAATAATCTTCGACAAAGCAGGAAAAAATATGCAATAGAAAAAAGACAGTCTCTTCAATAAATGGTGCTGGTAAAATTGGACAGCTATATACAGAAGAATGAAACTCAACCATTCTCTAACACCATACACAAAGATAAACTCAAAATGGGTGAAAGACCTCAATGTGAGACAGGAATCCATCAAAATCCTAGAGGAGAACATAGGCAGTAATCTCTTTGACATCGGCCACAGCAACTTCTTTCAAGATTCATCTCCAAAGGCTAGTGAAACAAAAGCAAAAATGAACTTTTGGGACTTCATCAAGATAAAAAGCTTCTGCACAGCAAAGGAAACAGTCAACAAAACAAAGAGGAAACCCACAGAATGGGAGAAGATATTTGCAAATGACACTACAGATAAAGGGCTGGTATCCAAGATCTACAAAGAACTTCTCAAACTCAACACCCAAAAAAACAAATAATCAAGTCAAAAAATGGGCAGGAGACATGAACAGACACTTCTCCAAAGAAAACATACAAATGGCTAACAGACACATGAAAAAATGTTCATCATCATTAGCCATCAGGGAAATTCAAATCAAAACCACATTGAGATACCACCTTAGACCAGTTAGAATGGCAACAATTGACAAGGCGAGAAACAACAAATGTTAGAGAGGTTGTGGAGAAAGGGGAACCCTCTTACACTGTTGGTGGGAATGCAAGTTGGTACAGCCACTTTGGAAAAAAGTGTGGAAGTTCCTCAAAAAATTAAAAATAGAGCTACCCTATGACCCAGCAATTGCACTACTAGGTATTTACCCCAAAGACACAGATGTAGTGAAAAGAAGGGCCATATGCATCCCAATGTTCATAGCAGCAATGTCTGCAATAGCCTAACTGTGGAAAGAGCCGAGATTCATTCAACAGATGAATGGATAAAGAAGATGTGGTCCATATATACAATGGACTATTAGCCATCAGAAAGGATGAATACCCAACTTTTACATCAACATGGATGAGACTGGAGGAGATTATGCTAAGTGAATTAAGTCAAGCAGAGAAAGTCAATTATACAGTTTCACTTATTTGTGAACATAAGGAATAGCATGGAGGACATTAGGAGGAAGGGAAAAATGAAGGGGTGGGAGATCGGAGAGATGAACAATGAGAGCTATGGACTCTGAAAAACAAACTGAGGATGTTAGAGGGGAGGGGGGTGGGGGGATGGGTTAGCCCGGTGATGGGTATTAAGGAGGGCACGTTCTGCATGGAGCACTGGGTGTTATACGAAAACAATGAAGCGTAGATCCCTACATCAAATACTAATGATGTATTGTATGGTGACTGACATAACATAATAAAATAAAATTAAAAAAATAAAAAAATAAAATTCTCTCTGTGGGGTGCTCAGTGGGGACTGAGTCTGGGATCAAGCCCTGCATAGGGCTCCCTGCTCAGTGGGGAGTCTGCTTCTTCCTTGGCACCTCACCGTACTCTCATGCTCTCTCTCAAAATAAATAAAATCTTACAAAATAAAATTCTCTCAGGGTGCCTGCGTGGCTCAGATGGTTGAGCGTCTGTCTTTGGCTCGGGTCATGATCTCCAGCTCCTGGGATCGGGCCCCACATCGGGCTCCCTGTTCAGTGGGGAGTCTGCTTCTCCCTCTTCCTCTGCCTCTCCCCACTGCTCCTGCTCTCTCTCTCTTGCTCTGTATCTCTCTATATACAAACAGCTACATAAAATGAGTTATGTGCCATTTGTTTTGCTATCTCTCTATATACAGAAGAATGAAACTCAACCATTCAACCAAATGAATAAATAACCATTCAACCAAATAAATAAATAATAAAAAAATTCTTTAAAAAAATAAAAATAAATTAAAAAAATAAAATTCTCTCTGCAAAAGTAAAAATGATAAATTGAGGACAATGGGTTGGTAGTCTTCTCTTCAAAATAACTATTGGTGGGAGAGCAAACAAGTACAGTCTCACAGGAAGGCACTCGAGCATTATATAATAGGAGCTTTAAAATACTTGCTATTTGATAAAATAATTTTCTTTCTATGAAAATTCCAATAAATACATCAGAAACTTAAATATAGTTAATGGGGAGCCGGGCTAGCTCAGTTGGTAGAGTATGTGACTCTTGATCTCGAGGTTGTAAGATCAAGCCCCATGTGAGGTGTAGAGATTACTTAAAAACAAAATCTTAAAAAAAAAAAAAGAAAGAAACGTAGTTGCTTGCAAAGATGATCATTGCAGTATTATTTATAATAGCAAAAAATTAGAAATAATCCAGGTATCCTATCATAATTGTATTGCTAAAAAATATATATAACCTGGGATAAATATTCAAAATATATAAAAAACTTTTGCAAATCAGTGGCAAAAAACACCAAACAATCTGATTTAAAAGTAGAGGAAATGAATAGATATTTTGCCAATGAAGACATCCAAATGGCCAACAGGTACATGAAAAGGTGCTCAGCATCACTAATCATCAGGGAAATGCAATTTAAAACCACAATGAAATACTACCTCACACCTGTTAGAATGGCTATTACCAAAAAACCCCACAAGAAATAGTAAGTGCTGAAGAGGATGTGGAGAAAAGGGACCTGTTGTGCACTGTTGGTGGGAATGTAAATTGGTGCAGCCACTATGGAAAACAGTATGGAAGAACTCTCAAGAAATTGAAAATAGAATTACCATATGATCCAGCAATTCCACTTCTGGGTATATACCCAAAAGATATATGCACCCCTATGTTACTGAAGCATTATTTATAATAGCCAAGACAAGGAAACAACCCTCACTGTCCATCAACAAATGAATGAAGAAAGAAAATGTCACACACACACACACACACACACACACACACACACACACCCGCAGAGGAATATTATTCAGCCGTAAAAGGGAAGGAAATCTTGTCATTGTGATAATAAGGATGACTCTTGGGGGCATTATGCTAAATGAAATAAGTCAGACAGAGAAGGACAAATACTGTATGATCTCACTTATATGTAGAATCTAAAAAACCTAACTCATAGATACATAGAACATATTGGTGGTTGTCAAAGGTGGGGGGGTTGGGGAAAATGGGTGAAGGTGGTTAAAAGGTAAAAACTTCCAATTGTAAGGTAATTAAGTTCTGGGGATGTAATGTGCAGCACACTGATTGTAGTTAATACTGTACATTTGAAAGGTGCTAAGAGAGTAGATCTTAAGAGTTCTCATCATAAGAAAAAATTTATAACTATCTGAGGTGATTGATGTTAAATAAACTTATTGTGGTAATCATTTCACTATATATGTATAAAGTCATTATACTGTACACACTGGACTAATACAAAATTATATGTCAATTATGTCTCAATAAAATTATAAAAAACAGTAGAATATTATGTAGAATATTATATAGCCATTAAAAATGAAAAATTAAAAGTATTTCATGACAAAGAAAGTCCTCATAAGATATTTTAAGTGGAGGGGTGCCTGGGTGGCTCAGTCAGTTAAGCATCTGCCTTCGGCTCGGGTCATGATCCCAGGGTCCTAGGATTAAGCCCCACGTCAAGCTCCCTGCTCAGCGGGGAGCCTGCTTCTCCCTCTCCTTCTGCCTCTCCCCCTGCCTGTGCTCTTGCTCTCCCTGTCAAATAAACAAATAAAATCTTTAAAAAAAAAAGATATATTAAGTGGAAAAGACAAGTTATAAAATTATGATATAGTTTGATCTCCACTTATAAAAATAAATATATAAATGCATAGAAAAAAAGACTAAAGAAAATATATTCAATATTAACTAACAAGTGATTATCTCTGAAGTGATTTATTTTTTCTATATTTTTGCACTGTTGAAAGGCTCTCACTGTTAGAAAATCTCTTTCATTATTAAATTAAGATTAAAACAATATAATTCAATCTATAATTGTACAGATCCCACTGTCATGGGATATCTTTGTAAGTTTGAAAACTTTCCTTAATATATCATATATATAAACATATTAAGTCATAAACAGCTACATAAAATGAGTTATGTGCCATTTGTTTTGCTTTGTTAGATTTTCAGTTTCTAGAGTGCTGGAATTGTTCTCCTTTTTTTTTTTTTTTTAAGATCTTATTTCTTTATTTGAGAGCAAGAGACCGAGTATGAGTAGGGGGGGAGTGGCAGAGGGAGAGCGGGAAGCTGACTCCCTGCTGAGCAGAGAGCCTGATGCAGGGCTCGATCCCAGGACCCTGAGATCATGACCTGAGCCAAAGGCAGATGCTCAACCAACTAAGCCACCCAGACACCCCTGGAATTATTCTCTTTAAATGCTTTGTATATTGCTTAACACCTCTGGTTAATGACCATTAAATCTTTCATCAAATCAGAATCAGAAGTATGTTATTTTCATTTATTACAAAAAATCAATAGCTCCTTAAATGATTTTTCCACTTCTTAAATAAGCTTTCATACTGAGACCTCACAACTCTATGGAAATCAAATTTCAACAATTTGTAGAACTTTTTTTTCTCTCTCCCTTTCTCTCTTTTAAATATGGAGAACAGTGACCCTATTGCATGGGGGGCCTGGTGATACACAAAGAACCATCTGGATTCTAGGGAGGGGTCAGGTGAATCTCTGGCTAAGAGCTGTGGGAGAGGCAGGGTTCACCCCTGGGGTCTCCTGCTGCCCAGCCAATCTCTCCCAACTCTGTGTCTCACAGATATGCTATGAGCACCTCTCATCTGTTCCTTCACTTCAATGCCCTCCCATGTCCATAAGGCAAAAATCCAAACTCTTCAGCTTAATGTTCAAAATCCTCCCTCCACACTCTCTTTCCAACTGAATCACTAGCTACTAAAGCCCATGAAGTTTCCAACCAAGAAAGTTGGTCTCTTTAATAAAAATAAAAACTAGCATTTGATTTCTTAGGGTGTGAAACTCATTGTGCCAAACTCTTTATTGGCATTTTATTATCATACCAATCCTTTGAGGAAGATACTACCACTATCCCTGTCATTTGAATACAGAAACAGATTTAGAGAGGTTAAGTAACTTGCCAAGGTCACAGAGCTAGTCAGTTGCTGGACCTGGGATTTGACTCTGGACTGAATCCATAATAGGGGCTTGTAAACTCAACACTGTATCTAAATCATGTATATCTGCCTGCCCTCTTCTGATTCAGTGGTTCTCCCATTCCTGATTGCTTTTCTCACATCTCTATACTTCAAAGATCCTATTTTAATCCTTCTCATACTTCAAAGATCAGTTAAAGACCCTTTTCTCTCTAAAGCCTTCCATACAGATTCAGCCTCCGTAACAGTGTATTTCAACTCCTATAGGACTTGGAAGTGCTCATTTCGCCCTTGTCATTTACTGCCTCATGTTGTCAATCTCCTTCTATGTATATTTATTTCTTCAAGGATCAGGAGCTCTTTGAGGGGGAAAAGCTCTGGAACTAGGAAGGAGTAAACTGAGAGACTGTGGGAGAGCCACTTAACCCTTCAGAGCTTCAGAGTTTTCTCTTATAAGAAATAAAAATGCTAGCCTGCACTGGTGCCATGAATATTTAATGAGATACCTAAGAGTGTTTAGTGTAGACCAGTGCAAGTATGAACTCAAAAAATATGTTTCCTTTCCTTATCCGGGGCTGCTAAGTTTGTTACTCCTTTGTAATTGCACAGCCTTTTGTATATAGTGGGTTCATTTAACCCTGGATGGCTTTCAACTGGAAAGAAACATTAGTATTTTTTTTTTTAAGATTTTATTTATTTGACAGAGAGAGACACAGCAAGAGAGGGAACACAAGCGGGGGGAGTGGGAGAGGGAGAGGGAGAAGCAGGTTTCCTGCCGAGCAGGGAACCTGATGCGGGGCTCCATGACCTGAGCCGAAGGCAGACGCTTAACCATCTGAGCCACCCAGGCGCCCCAGAAACATTAGTATTTTAAGCTTTTGTTTGCTTCTTGGCAAATGCCCATCTCTATACTGAGTCATTACATTAATGAACCCATTTCTTTTAGATATATAAAAAAATCTAGGAATAGCTCCAGTTATAAAACAAAGTTCTATTAGTATATTAAATAAATAATTTGCAAATGAGTTTTGAAAAGAAATCTTTAATCCGTCTGGCAGGTAAAACAGGTAATAATATCATCAGCAGATTAATAGGTTTTAGGCTACTGACTTTGAGAGAGCCAAGAAATTATAAAAACTCACTGTTGGACACTGTCTGGAATCCTTTCTGGGTAAAGTACTAAAAGAGAAATGCATTTGGGAGAAATATTCTAGAATACCATATGAAATACCATTTCATCCACAGAAACTGCATTTTTGTTTCAACATGTTTTATACAAAAGTCCTCAACTGAAATGGCAGTCTTGGGGAACCAAGATTCAATTAATTAAGAGGGAAACACTCAACTCATCCAGCTCTACAAATTCTAGAGGTTGCAAATTGGTGAAATGAATTGTGGATCCACTAACCTGCTTAAAGCAACTGGAATTTGAATGTGTTTAAGCAGGCACATGTACCACTGTTTGCCACAATCCTTACTATTCCCTATTGCACTATACCTGCTGGCTAGTTTTATTGACAAAATACTGTTTCCAACTCCTGGATTAACACAGAAATCTGGTTTCACGACATCACAAATGTGGTGTCCTAAACTCACTTGGGGGTAAGGGAAAGTCCCAGTTCTGAGTAGGCGTATCAGTGCCTCTCTTCATACCTTGTTTAATGAGTTCTTTAATTCTCCCTGGTGTTCCTACACCCAAGTGCACAACACGCTTCTCCAGCAACTTTATCTGCTCCTGGACCTACTTATTCCAAGATGGAAGAGATGAAAGAAAAGAAGAGTCATGAGAAAGTGCAATCATAGTCACTTTATCTAAAAGTTAAAAAGTAAAAAGCAAATATGGCTACCCTTGTTTAGGCTCAACTTCCAGTGCAAAGAAGGTTAATTAACATCAAGATAGAAAAGCATCATTCTGTAAAATTGGTAAATCTTCAAAGAAACGAGGGACCAAACCTCAGCTTCTGTGCAGGAATCTTGGAGCACAGAGGAGTAGCGACTGTTGTTGGGGCAGGTCATGCAAAGGCAGGGAATGTAAAGGACACCAGAACAGTTGTTAAATATGTTATATAAGGAGGCACCAAAGAAAACACCTGCTAAGGAGATAAGAAAAAGCTAGGAGCGGCCCTTAAGGATAACTTACAACATCCATCAGCAACCACAGGCCCTTGCTTACCTTTATGTGTTTTGCAAATAATTTTATAACTTTGCTGTCTCCTCTGAATGCTGTCACTGACCTAATGAAAAAAAGATTAATAAAAAAAAGATGAATGCTTAAGAAAACTTATTCATTGCAGGCCACATTGACAACTTAAGTATATCTTGCTTTAAAGAGAATATATGTGTTTATATGTGTAACTATGAGTATATGCATGTGTATATATACACAGATACAAAAAACTGAGATTTTTCAGGTCAGCCCATCTCTGGAAGGAAAGTGAGGAAGCCTTTTATTCAGGCAGGTATCTGGATTGGCTTCTACTTTTCATACACAAGGTTAACTTTACTTAGGTTTCCTTGATAACCAACCGAAACATAATGGATCTGCCCTTCATTTTTAATACAGAATTTCTGTATTTCAGGTCCCTGGCAGAGAATTTATCTTTTAAACTCTGCAGTATAGTTCTCACACAAAATTTGGTTGCACGAAATACCTTGGAGCAGTGATGTCAGCCTGTGCTCTGTGGAACCCAAAGGCATCACAAAAATTTGTATGTTACGGCCATGGTGGGTTGCTGGGAATGAGCTGACAGGGAGGAGAAGAAAGGCTTATGTCCTTCAATCAGAGCAATGTCCCACTTTTATCTACTTTGCAGAGTGCGCTTTCCTGCAAAATTTTATATGTGGAAATGTTCCTGGTATCAATAGACATAAAAGAACAATCAATCCTTTAATTGATGTCTGGAAATAGAACATGGGAATATGCTTGGAAATTATTATTGCCAGTAGGAATATATGAATTTGCAAGATAGTAAATTATACTATCTAAGTTCTGTTGTATTTGACTTTTACTCATACATAAGCTTTCTCCATGGCAAGGTTAACTAGGAAGACAGTTTAGGGGACATATTTAACATTAATTCATGGTCCTCAAAAGAATAGATATTCTTATAAAAGTTAGAATTATTCACTATTAGTCTTTATGAATAGGGCTTGTTGTGCTAGCTCAGAAATCCCTTTTTGCAAATCACCTAACCTTGAAGTGGATCATAATACCAAAGACACAGAAGAACACAGAATTGGTAAATGAAATGTGACAACATAGTGCTTTTATGCCCTTCGGAAAGGTATTTATGTACAGTAGAAGCTCAAATCAACGTGACAGCTTGTTTTTAAGAGGCCATCTCCAGGCCAACCTTTTTGCCATTAATGTTTGAATCTGAAATGAGTTCTGTGGTGGTAGTTTCTAAAACACTGAAAAGTCAATGTGAACTACTATGATTTCAGAACCAGCAAGTATCGCTGCCCAGAAACAGTTGGGAGTCTTGAAGATCAGTTGTGTTTGGAGCAGAAATAGTTGGAATAAACACTTTTGTTTTACTGGGAGCTTTTGTGATACAATATTATGTGTGTGCCTTGGCGGGGGGGAAAGGAGAGTTTGAAGAACTTAAAAACTACTTTTCTAAATTTGTAATCAGATTAGTTCACTTAGAAAAATAGATGCTAAATAATTACTGAGAGTCTACATTTGCACCTTAATTTATTTTCTCCAGGACTTGGATTTTCCTTTGTTTTGTCTCTTGTCAAAGTCTGGTGCAGAGCCTGGCCCTGGAAGAGGGCTAGTTCCAGTAAATCCCAATTTACTCTGACGGCTCTTCTCTGAAAGCTCAACGTTACCACTGATCCAGTGGAAGACTTTTTGTTTCTTCTACTATACTACAGTAAATGAAAAGGTATGTGAAAGCACTTAGTAAAGCACTGACAGATTATCTTTAAAACATAATTTTTATATTTAAATTTTCAGCCCATTTGGAATTTACCTTGGTATGAGAAGTGAGATAGGGCTCCAAACTTACTTTTCCAGATGGTTACCCAGTTGTTCCAACACCATTTATTAAATAATCCATCTTTCCCTACTGCTTTGTCACCTTTGCCATATGCATATGGGCCTATTTCTGAACTTCCAATTCTGTTCCACTGGTCTGATCTGTCATGCATATGCCAGTTCCATCCTGTTTTAATTAGTGAGACTTGGTAACATATATCTCTTGGTAATCTGATAGATACTATAGACATAGTATCCTCTCACTAATATTCTTTTTCAGAATTTCCCCAGGTATTTTTTCTTCTTATTTTCTCTTATGAACTTAGAACTATAGCTTATCTTTAAATTTTGAACTTTAGCTTATCGAGATAGAAAACCAATTCTATTGGAGTTTTACTGGGAATCTGTGAAATTTATGTTATTCTAGGTAAAACAGACATCTTTACAACATTGACCCTTTTTTTTTTTTGAAGATTTTATTTCTTTATTTCACACACAGAGAGAACGAGCAAGTATAAGCAGGGGCAGCAGCAGAGGGAGAGACAGAAGCAGAAGCTGAGCAGACAGCCCAATGCAGGACTCCATCCCAGGACCCTGGAATCATGACCTGAGCCAAAGGCAGATACTTAACTGACTGAGCCACCCAGGCATCCTTACACTGATTCTTCCTATTCAGCAATATTCTATGCCCTTTTGTTCAAGATCTTCTGAGTTGTGGGGCAACTGGGTGGCTCAGTGGGTTAAGTGTCCAACTCTTGATTTTGGCTCAGGTCATGATCTCAGGGTTGTGAGATGGAGCCCCACATCAGGCTCTGCGCTGGGCATGGAGTCTGTGTAAGAGTCTCTCTCTCCTCTCCCTCTGCCCCTCCCTGCCCCCGTCCCCTCTTAAAAAAAAAGATCTGAGCTGCTTATGTAATATTTTCTTTATACAGATTTAGTAGGTTTATTACTTGGTGTTCTATTTTTTTTCCTGTTATTATTTTAAATTAGATCTTTTCTTTCATTATTTTTTCCAACTGGTTATTGCTTATATTATTTCCTTGCTTTTACTCTTGCCCTGTATAACGTGTGTTCTATGCACAGAAGCCAAAGTGATCCTTTAGAAAGATTATTCAGATCATGTGATTCCTCTGCTCAAAATCTTCCAGTAGCATTGCATCTTAGGGTCTTTTATGCTTACTGCCCACTCTGTCTGGAATAATGGTCTTCTTCTAGATATCTGCTTGGCATTCTCCTTCACTTTGTTCATGTCTCTGCTCAAATGTCATTCTCCTTGGAAAAGCTTACGGTGACAATCCTTTTAAAAGTAGCCCCCAACCCTCTCTATCACTTTGCCATGCTTTATTTCTTCTTATATAATTTAACACTACCTGACATTATAATATATATTTATTTGTTCATTGTCTGTCTCCCTCACTAGAAAGTAAGTTCCATGACAAAAGGGATTCTGTCTGTTTTGTTCATTGTTACATCTCCAGCATATACAGCGTATCAACTTGACACATATCAGTTACTCAAAAAACATTTATGAAACAAAAAGGTGAAGTGTCCAACCTAATGAGCTCCAAGGCCCGGATAGCAGAGCTACAGATCATCAGCATCAGGACCGATTTCTTCTCATTATGGTTCTTTCGAAGTTTTACCCACTTAGGGCAGACTGCAAAAATACCATAGAAAAATATTACTCTAAATATAGCAAAATAGGGCTCCTATTTATTTTAGGCCCCTAAAGTTGAGTTATTTTCCAATTACTCTTTGTTAGTATTTAATTAAAGTAAAATATAATGGGTACTGTCCAGATTCTATTCTCTGGCTATGTAAGATATTAGATTAAAATGAAATATCATTAACTTATAACATAAAACACGTAATATGCCAAGTAGCTAAATGTGACGAGTTTTAGGACCAAGTAAAAAAAGTGTTCGGAATAATACATTTTTGATAATTCACATTTGATGCTTGATGGCAAAGACTAAATAGGAAAAGAACTTTGATTCAATAATGTTAAATTTTAAAGAAACACTCAATATAAGATAAAAAATGGAAATGACATTAAAATAATAGCAAGCATTTATTAAACACAGACACTGTTTAGTTCTCACAATCCAGTGAGGTTGATTCTACTATAACCTACATTTATACTTGCTGAATTTGAGGTGGAGAAAAGTTTATGAACTCAAGTTGAATGCAATCAGAACTGATTTGAGTTTGAAAAAAGAATGCTAAATCTCTATATCTAAACTATTTCACTGTCAGCCACAAATAGATGACTATCTAGTATGAATAATCTGGCTTTCGGCTACACACAATAAATATTGAAAAGATGAAATTAGATTGTGCAATAGCCATGGTCTGAGTTCTGAGCATATGAAAAGAATTTCAGAATTTTACAGCTAGAATAAAGATCACATGTCCAACTCCCTTATCTTTCAGATAACAAAATCAAGTCTAGAAGAGAACTCGTGACTTGTCCGAGGTCAAACAGCAAATTAGTGACAGACTTGGAACTAGAACACTAATTATTCTCCGGATTCCTACACCAATACTTCTAGTGTATTATAAACCAAAAAATGAGACCAAAACTCAAATTCTCAAAGCCAGAGCAAAACAAGAATAAACTTAAATAAACAGAAATTAATATCAAGATGGACCTTAAGAAAAACCTCCACTTCAAATCCATTTGAGGTGGAAAGTTTTGCTTTTAAATGTTGTTTTAAAAGTTTTAATTTTAACGAGATGTACCTTATGTTTTAATGGAGTAATAACAACTTGGTGAATAACTTAAAAGAAAATCATAGTTTACTTACTTTCTTTTAGGTATGATGAAAGACTATGAGTCAAATCATTGGCCTTGAGGAAACAGGAGTCTAGAATATGACAAACATGCTTTGTAAGACGATTTTGCAAACACACACATGATCAAAATAGATTCATTGTGAATGGTGTCTTCTTAAATAAGGTTGTAAAACATTAGTAAATGGGGGCTCATTATATATTTTAAAGTGTTGTCCAGTATTTAAATCAACAGCAGCAATAAGACCAAGTAAACTTTTAACTGTCCATAATTTCTTAGAGTAGTGAAATAGAAGCTTGTTGTATCATTCAATGAACTAATGAAGCATGTTTATTTTTCAAATTCATGGAATAGGCAATATACAAAGGTAAAGGGGATATAGCTAACAAATCTGTGTAGAGAGGTTCAAACTCACTAGTCATCATAGAATTATATATTACAGTGATGAGGTAATACTTCACACACACATCAGAATGACAGTTGTTAAAAAGATGTATAATACCAAGTATTGTCAAGAATGTAGGGTGATAAGCCTCTTGTGAAATGTAGGTGGAGGTGTAAACTGGTAATAGCTATTCTGGAAAGTAGTAAAATTAAGTTGTATACACTCTATTACCCCATGATTACATTCCTGAGTAAATAATGGAAAGAAATTCTTACGTGTTCTATAAAGAGATACACACAAGTATATTCATCCTATCATTATCTGTTATAGTGGGGAGCAGGAAGCAACGTAGGTGTCCATATCTGAGAAAATGGATGACCAATACATGGTAGATGAAATCATTGGCATACTATATAGCATTTAGAAGCAATGAACTTGATGTGCATAAAGCCATACAGGCATATCTCAAAAAAGTGCTCAGTGAAGAAAGAGACAGAATGAGAAGTTCAGCACATCATTTAGATAAATTGTAAAATGTACACACATACAACAACATGACATTTTACGAGTATATATACATATTTAAAATCATGTATTAACACATTAGAGTGAATGCTATGGGGAAAGTAAAGAGGAGTGTGGACTGAGGAAGAGTGGGAATATTGCATCAAAACACAACACAACACAACACCAGAGTAAAAGTGAATATAACAGTAAAATAAAATATAGGGGCCTTGCTCAACCAAGAACTATCATGGTCTGGCAATTATGTAGCATTATTAACTCTGTACCTGAGATGTGTAAAAAAGCAACATCATGTTTATTATTCTAATTCTTTCTATAAGAAAAAGGTTTTCTATAAACACAGAAGAGTGCTAGGGAGTTAACTATTACTAAATTAAATGACAGTAATATTGTGACCCAGCATATATAATTCATATTATGTGAGTTAACTTCAAAGATGTTGCTTCCTATACAGCTGTAGAGACTTTGATGGTCTTTAAAACTATAATTTCCAAAGCTGGATATGATCAGCCTCACCTGGAGAGCTTTACAAAAGATACAGATTCCTAAGACGGACTCCTTTCATTAGTAAGTTAGAATTCCTTGCAGGGGGGGTGGGCCTGGGAATTTGCTTTTTAAGTTCTTGGGTGATTCAGTTGCTGCTAGCCTACAGGCTTTAGCACTGATCTAAACCACACTGCAGCTCTCAGGAGGACAGCTGAGTTAACTCCAAGAAATTCCTGCCTCAAAACTAATTAAGTGCCCATGTGTATGACATTAACAATGTACAGTGAACAATATTAATTGAAAAGACATGTTCCTGCCTACAGACACAAATAACCTCAAATCAAAACCAAGTTAGACACTCAGCAAACTAATAGGAACAGTACTTCATTATCTATATTCACCATATATTTATGCCACTGCCTCTGCCTGTTTCAGATAACCCACAGTGTGTCCCTCTTCTGCCCTACTGTGGTTCCTCTCTGTCCTTTCAGGTGTAGCCTACTAGAGTCTTTTCTACTAAACGTTCTCATGATGCCTTAGTCACTGTGTCTCAGAATGGCCTAATTTCTTAACTGAAAATGAAAACCTGTTCTTTTTGTCTATAAAATATTTTTAACATTTTCCTTTCTTCCTAAACCAAGCCATGACCATACATTCTTGTTTAACTATATAACTGAACTGTAATAGAGCAATAATATAATGTAAACTCATTATAGAACTCAAAAGACTCTTAAAGGTTTCTTCTGACCTCTGTATCTCTGTAATGCTAGAAAATTAAAATTTATGATGTTCCATAAGTATACAGAGTAGCGGTGATCCCACTATCTCACAAATCCTTCCTGAGTTGAAGGTGTACGCTAACAAAGAACCAGAAGGACCAAGCAACCACTGAGTCAAACTTCAGTTAAATTTTGAACAGAAGCTTGTTGTAACACTGTTCCAGTGATACAGCAGTCAGGACGTAGCTGTCCTCAAAGGAACTAGCCCTGGACAGGAGTGGTTTCTAACTGCTGTTGGAGCCATCTAGGCTTTGTGAGTCTAAAACTCCAGATCTTGCTCATGTGGAAATGTACTCCTTAAATTCTGGAAAAGAAACAGACACAGGCACTCCTGTTTCCAAACTCAACGTCCTTTTTTTTTTTTTGTTTTTTTTAAAGCACATCACAAAGGAATTATAAAAATTCAGGGAATGGGATGTTTTTCAGCTCCTTAAGCCTCTAGAAAGCATAAAGTTGTAATAGAAAAGGGAAATCAAGCTACCCTTGACTTTTTCCAACAGCAGTAATTAGATATCCCTAGTAATCTATAAATAGCTCGTCTGAAAGAGTGGTACCCAAACCTTGTGTGGTTTGATTTTGTAACAATATCTCTTTAATCTCTGCCCCAAAGAGTTACAGGATGTATCAGAATTTTCAAAATTAATTAAACTTAGTTGTTTTAAGAATTTTGCAGTATCTTTTTAACTTAATTATACATATTCTAAGGCAGTAGATCTCAAACAATAGTAGGTTTAAGAATCACTTGGGGCAAGGTGTTGGCTTTGCTAAAAATGCGGAATTTTATTCCTATCTTTAGATAGTTTCCTTGAAATAGTCTGGCCTGGGACCCAAAACACTACTAGAAATCTGTGATAAGGACAACAAAACTAAGATGCTTATTAAAGCTAAAGTTGAGGCACCTGGGTGGCTCAGTTGGTTGAGTGTCCAGTTCTTGGTTTCAGCTCAGGTCATGATCTCATGGGTCATGAGATTGGGCTTGGCATCGAGCCCCTGACTGACTTCTGGGCTCCCTTCTCAGCATGGAGATTGCTAGAGATTCTTTCTGTCTCCCCCTCCCCCCACTTGCGTGTGCACACTTCTGTTTCTCAAATAGATAAATCTTTAAAAAAAAAAAGCTAAAGCTCTTGTCTATAAAGGGTGAGTAAACTAATGTTTCATATCTATACTTTTATTTTATTATTTTTTTAAGATTTTATTTATTTATTTGAGAGAGAATGAGAGATAGAGAGCATGAGAGGGAAGAGGGTCAGAGGGAGAAGCAGACTCCCCGCTGAGCAGGGAGCCCGATGCGGGACTCGATCCCGAGACTCCAGGATCATGACCTGAGCCGAAGGCAGTCGCTTAACCAACTGAGCCACCCAGGCGCCCTCATATCTATACTTTTAAATGTGTGCTTTATCTTTAACTTCTTTCCTCAACTAGGGATTCTTATTCCTTCAAGAACACTAAAAAAAATGCACACTCAACAATTAGCTTTTTCAAAAAAAAGCATTTACAAATCTTGTTTATTTATTTTTTTAATTAAAGATTTTATTTTTATTTAGTTGACAGAGAGAGCACGAGAGAACACAAGCAGGGGGAGAGGGAGAGGGAGAAGCAGGCTCCCCACTGAGCAGGGAGCAGGATGTGGGGCTCTGATCCCAGGACCCTGGGATCATGACCTGAGCTGAAGGCAGATGCTTAACCAACTGAGCCACGCAGGTGCCCCCAAATCTTTCTTTAGATTGAACAAATACCATTTAGCATCTTAATAAAGAAATCATTCAAAAGTTAAAACTGTGAGGTTGAGAAAAGAAGTATTAGCATGTGGAAAATACATTGATTCACTGGCAGAGATACCTAGTTATAATATACATAGTGGAGAAAAGATAAACCCTTTGTGCTCCTCCGCATCAGGAAAGTTGATAGCAGTAACAATGAGTCCTGCTAAATGATTAACTTCAGAATGGTAAGGGAAAAAAAAAAAAGGAGGAAAGAAGCCAAACAAGTCCGGCTGTACCTGGTAGGTTTAGTTCTTCTAATTCAATCACTGAGCGACTGCCACTGTAATAGTCCTTCATCAACTTCTGTAGGTCCTCAGGGGTCCCTGGTTTTGGCTCTGATTTTGCAAGAACATCAGTAATTTTCTTCTACAACATGAGAAGGAAGAAAAAAACTTCAAGAAGATAGATTTTAGAATGATGTTAGCTTAGAATAGCTAAGAATCCTCTGGTACTTAAACTGCATATAGATTTTGGTGATAGCTGAGTATGAATGTGAGTTCTAATAAATACACTTGAAAAAACTTAATAAATAAATACTTTTTGAATACAAATACTGCTTTGAAAAATGAATGGGTGATCTAAAAGTCTCTTTGTAACTCTTGGTCAATGGCTTTCAGGAGAACTGAAATTTCTGTAGGAGTCTCCATAATAGGGCATTCCTTTCTGTTAAAAGCCAAGAAATCTTGTTGCTGTGGAAACCTCTCTTTAATCCTTCAATGATTTTTATTCCGAGAGTAGAATTTTGAGAATTTTTTTGCCAAACCTGGTTTTTAAGGCACTGAGTCTCAGTTTGGTTTTCTGGGATTTAGGTAAAACCTGCAGGAGTAATCTGAGCATTGGAGCCCACTGCAAAGGAAGACTATAGACTCTCGATTGTCAAGTCCTGGGAGAGAGTCTTGAAGTGGCCCCATGGAAAACAGAACAGGAATAACCTTACAGCATCAATTCTGATTTGGATTCATTTGTGTAGCATTTACTGAGTGCCTGCAACGTACTAGGAACATACCACTGTTCAGTTAATTTTCATCATAAACTTTCTCATTTCCTTCTAATGTTTCACCAAAGATCCACAAAGAGCCACTCCCCACCCCCACCTTTTCAACTCCTTCCACAATATCCTCATTTCTATACCACTGCCAAGAATGGTAAAAGTTCTGTCAAAGGAATTAACTTTTAAAAATATGTCATCAGTAGGCACATTTTAGCATGACCTCAGCCAAGGCTAAAACTATCTAGCTAGAGTTTGACCTTGAGCCACCAAGAACTTAACACTCCTGAAGGCCATTAGTGTACAAACTTATCAAAGAGAAGTGAAAGTCACTTCTTTAAGGACTTGCCAAACCTCAGCCAATTTGGCATCTCCCATCTTTCTATTTGGCCATTTGTGAGCAACGAAAACATATGCATACATACTCTTAACTTTCTAAAAGCTTGCTGTTAAGTAATTGGTTTGAATCCATCTTCTTTCCTCTAACCCCAATCGTATTTCCTCTTCTGAATTCAGCAGTAGACCTTCTTGGCAGGGAGAGAATTACACTGCTGTTTTCACAACTGTGGGGGAAGGTCAAAGCTAACCACATTTTCTCCAAGGTTGAGCTGTAAGAAAGTCTGTACAGGAGCAATAGAGTCTTCCATGCACTCATAGGCAAATATTAAAATGTAAGGGGAGTCTTTTGCTTTAAATTATGGTTCCAAATTACGGTCAGAAATGCCTTATACTACTGTCATCTGGTTATTATTTTCTTTTTATTAATACTCTAAGATATAAGGTTTAAAAAACTGAAATGGATATGAAAAGAAAGTTGGTAAATTTCTTTCCTTGGGCACAGCCAGAAGGGCCAGAGGGCAGGATAGCTTTGGGCTTCTTCTAGACTTAGAAATTCATGTTTATCTTCTAACAACCATGAAAATGATGAAAACAAAGGTGGATAACAAAGATGTTTGGTGCTCCACAAGACTGAAATAGGAATCAGAAGAATTTATTTTTAGCTCCAACAGAAACACTTAATATGAGTGACCTAAGGAAAGTCACCAAACCTCACTGAATCTTACAGTCTCTAAAGTGGGAATTACACTTGCCTCATCAAAGTACACTATATAGAAATGTGAGGTAAATCACCTGGGGTTGTAAGAAAATTGTAAGAAAGTATTAATAATACCTTTTTTCTCCTCCTTGTCTTGGTGGCATCTTCTTTTGTTTCCTTTGGTTGTATCAAGAAACATTCTTTAGGCTGTAAAGAGATACAGATGAGGAAATTTCCATCTTAGCATGATGGGGTGTCAACTAATGGTAGGGACCCCAAAGTACCTAGGCCATACATGTATTCTTCATAGTATCTTGGTAATATTATACAGACAGTGATGCCAGAAGACCAATAGGCTATTAGGCAGGGGCTGGGCTGAGGGAATTTGAGAAAATCAGAAACGGCCAATGACTTGAGACTGGAAAATCTTTGAACAAAGGTGAAAATGTGTGAGTGAGTGTATATGTGTGTTTGAAGTGGTGGTGCAGGGTATTAAAGATTGAAGACAGTGGCCAGGTTTATAAAATACAGGCAGAAATAGATGTGATCAAAATTAAGATGTGGTAAGAAAGTCTTTGACTAGAATGACTGGCACTTTCCATGAGCTAGCAACGTGTGAGCCTGTATTTCCAAGTCATTGGTTTACTATTTTGTTATTCATTCCTTTCCTCTTTCAATAAGCATTGAAAAACTGAAGTAGGACATATTTACTTACATTTTTATAAAACCAGCTGCACCAAATGCCTTATCTATAGTGACTACAAAATGAAGGTTTCTGCTGATGGTCTGACAAAAGTCTCAGCACAATGGCATTCTGAGTAATCAATTTTGCCTGTTGACGTGACCCTTGAGTACCCTATATAGGTTAGTGCTATTTTTACCCTGAAGGTTTTTATTTAATGCAGAAAAACAGGAGATTTGGATTAAGACGTTGATTTATAAAATAGAATGCCTCAGATTCCATATTTATTAACCATAAGCAGGAATATAAAATGTTTCCTGTGCTGGTTCTTTTATGCAACATTTTCAAACAAGTTGCCAAGTAAGATATAAAATACGAGTGAAAACTTATTCTGAGTTTTTCCTGGATTAAGTTTCCATCCCAACTAGAAAGTATTCAGTTTAAGCTGGTACGCTACTATCTAAAACAATCTTGGCTCTACTGGCTCCGTTTAAAGTGATTACAGATGAAGCTTTCTATTAAAATTTGTAGACAGCCTACAGATTAAGAATGCCCATGGCTTGAAGCCAGTAGATATCTATCTATCTATCTATCTATCTATCTATCTATCTATCTATCTATTTTCTTCAAGACATGGATACAGGACCAGCAGTTTCTAGACTCTGTTTCAGTTAGTAGAAAAGCAGATTCAAAGGTTCAGGATTAAAGTAACATGTGAATCTTGAAATTTTAGCTTCTCAGTTAAAACAAAAACCTGCCAAAAGCAATTGCATCACAGCTAAAGAAAAGAAAGATATTATGACCTCTCTTATTTAGAAAGTTAAGCTGTCTTGTGGATGAAGATATGTGCCAATCTGATGCTGGTACATGCCAATTAGAAGCTGGGCCAAGGCCACTAATATGTCACAGAAGCTGCCAGATGGTCATAAGAGTCCTATTACAGGCCAGGCCAACATTCAGTTCATATTCACAAGGCAAGGGCCTGGATATGATTAGCAGATCCCTCAAGGCATACTGTAGTATCTTGTCACCAGTATCACGGTTTTTGGGAATCAGATGTAGAAACCTGTTCCATTTTGTTATTTAGCAAACGAGGGTGCTCTCTAACAGTATGTTCAATGTGCAAGGTTGTATTTATGTTTGGTTTACAAAGCCAATTAACTCTAACATGACATAAATTAAATCTGGAAATGAGCTCGGTTATAAGGATATGGACTGTCCAATTCTGGAGGAAAAAATAAAAATGTAATTCTGAATCATGCATAGGAAAAAAGAAACATGCTTGATGAACTGTTTTAGTTAAGATACTGCATGAGGTTTAAATGTTAGGTTCATAGTCTTAGATCATCCTAAAGGAAATACAGTATATTATTTGTTTTCTGGGAGCAGTTGCCTTTTGTGGTTGAGGCTGGGCAGTAATGAAGAAGCTAAGTTTATGGGGGCAATTTCCAAAGAGATGAGATGGCTTTATGAAGAAATACAAAATCCATTTTATTAAAAATTCCTAAATTTAGACAGCTGTCTTACAAATACTGATGTTTACCTTCAGAGAGACTAGGTAAAAAGATATAGGAGACTCAGGTCAGACTAGCTAACCATTTCTGGAAACCAATTTCATCAGTATATGTCTTTGACAGTTGATAAGTAATTTCATTTTTTTACATGAAATCTAGTGATTTTTTAAAGCATAGCTTAAATACATAGTTTAAGCATTTAGAAATATATATGAAAAAATTAATCTTTAAGTGAAGCATTTGAGGCATAGTCTCAATTCCTTAAAGTGTCAAAAATTATATCCTTTAAGAATGATTCTTCTAGCTAAACATGGCAAATCAACCTCAAAAATGCCACTAAACTAAAAATGAAGGCAACTGAAAAAGGTATAAATTTATAAGGACCATGAAATCAGGAGAGAACATAGTGTGGAGAGATTTCAACAACATTTTGAAAAATGGAAAATGGTTGAAACATCCTTGGATGGAAGTGATTTAGCAGAAAGGTAGAGCTAGCACCAAGGTTTCTGGAGAGGTGGAAGCTAACAGTAAGTGAAGTTGTTTGACCTATTGGACTCTGAAAGGGTTTGGTAGTTGGAGACACAAGGTACTACAGAGAGTGAAAGGTTTAAAAGAAGGACATTGGTTGAAAGTTTATATATAGAATGATTAGCCTTCTTCCCATCTTCCACTGGGCTTATCTCCTGCCCAGGAAGCCAAGCAACTATCTGATTACTGCTTCCTCTCATTTTGCTCTTCCTGGTGGCAGACAGTGGGTTTATTCTCTGGAGAGAACAAGAGGACCAAGAAATCTGGCACAGGGAAGACAGGACAGAGGTTGAGACTCACTTCCTTTTCCTGTCCCTATTTCGAATGTCTTGAGCCAGACTTATATATTGTATGCAGGAGCCTACTGAATTTTTTTCTGGAAAAATGAAATGGACTAAGAGAAATGCCATCAGAGAGTGACATTTGGTGGGCATAGTAAATACAGCTTGCTATCCTATTATCCTTCTATGAAGTTCACTAATCAACAAGCCTCAAATATGCACAAAAATATTCCATCAGCTTTTTAATGTCTCTCTTTTTAATATGAATAGACAGCTAAGATAAGTGTCCAACATGAAAGCAAATAAACAACAAGAAGATAAAAGTTTCAAAACAATTATAATTAATAGTCTCAGACAGATAAGGAAAGAGTTTCAGCCATGAGACAAAAAAGAAAACAAATAAGAAAATTGGAATAAAAATGTAGGAGGAAGGCTTGAAGACAAAGGAAATCTCCCAAAAAGATGAAAAATGGTAAGAATATTAGATAGGGAATCAGCCCAAGAGATTCAACATCCCAATAAAAGGTATTACAGAAAAAGGGACTATATAACTGGGAAAGGAGTGATCAAAGAAATAACACAAGAAAAACTTTCCAGAACTGAAGGAAACTTTTCAGAATATGAAACTCTAAACTGAAAGCTCACTATGTATACAATATAATGAATATGAAAAATATCCACACTGAGGAGCATCATTGTGAAATTTCAGACCATGGGCAAACAAAAAAGACTAAAAATTTCCAAAAAGAAAAACAATAACTTATGAAATACAAAGAGTCCAGAAAAAGAATTGTGTTGGACCTTGCAATAGCAATAAAGCATGCTAGGACTCAATGGAACAATGCTTTCAAAATTATGAGGAAAATTTATTTGCAAATTAAACTTTTATACCCAGCCAAACTATGGGTCAGGTTAAGAGTAAAATAAAGGTATTTTCAGGTATTTAAGGTCTCAAAAAATTGATTTCCTATCCATAGATACCAAAGGCTGTATTCCAGCAAAATAAAGGGCTAAACCAAGAAAGAGGAAGATATGGGATTCAGCACATAAGGAAACTAATTCAGGAGAATGTTGAAGGGGCAGTGAAGAGAAATCTCAATTGCTCAACAGACAAGAGGATAACCAATTCAGAGTGGAACAGGAGTATAGAGGCCTTCAGGGAAGAACAATGAGTGATCTATTTGAGCATATGGAAAATATTATTCATGGACATGTGGGAAAGATATTGGAATATATGGAAACAATTAACAGTAGGAACACAACAAGCTAGGCAAATGAAGAAATGAGGTAATTATTAAAGCCATGAAAATGAAGAGTTGTATGAGAACGGAGGAATGATTATGGCTTCCCCCCCAGCACTGAACAGTAGTTCTGTGGTCATAATTGTGAGATACTGACAACCGTTTTAACCAAAATGTGATATTGTGTTAGCAGGAGAATTAGCAGTCAGAGAGGGAATAAGGGGTAGATGGGAGAGCTGTGTCCTCATATGCTATCTCAGGAAGTTAATAGATCATGTCAGGAGCTGATAAATCAAAAAACAGCAGTATAAACTATACACTAGCAAGTATGAAAAATAGCTAAAAGCGGAGGGTAGTTGCCTGTGAAGAAAGACCTACCATGAGAGCAGGAAAGGTGATGCTGTTTTTTTATGAAAAACTTTTAATAGTGTTTGATTATCACTTTGTTAAAAAAAATTAAATTGCCATTTTACAACAAAAACAAATATGTTCATTGTAAAAATAAAAAAAAGTTAGAACTGGCTTTTTAGTTTCTTTTGGTTTTGGTCAAAAGTTATTTAGTACACACCCATCAACATGTCTAAAATTAAAAGACTGATAATTCCAAATATTTACAAGGATATAAAACAACCAAAACTCTTATACATGGATGGTGGGAGTATAAAAATGGTACACTCGTTTTGGAAAAAAGTCTGTCAGTTTTTAGAAAACTAAGCATGACTCAGCAATTCTACTCCTATGCATTTACTCAAGAGAAATAAAAGTGTCTGTTCACAAAAGACCTGTATATGAATGTTCATGGAAGATTTATTCATAATAGCTCCAAAGAGGAAGTAGCCTCAGGTATCCATCAATAGAAAAACAGATAAACTGTGGAGTATTCATATAACTGAATATTACAAAGTGTTATGAACTGAATTGTACCCTCCTCCCTCCCATTCATATTTTGAATCCCAATCCC